ATAGATTATGGAATTCTAAAAAACAACTCTTGGGTTATGACTGTTAATTACATGTACCTGTACTGATACTGAAATTGAATGTTTAATAAATTGACCAGGAAGAAAACAGTAGTACCAACCCTCTTCCATTTCAGCATCTTGTCCCACTGGTGTACCAGCAGTAGAGGTACCAGCAGAAACACCAGCATTTGTGGACCCAGCCTCACTCTTGACAAGTCCTGTGGAAGTTAGCTTTGTGCCACCAACAAAAGTGATCTTAGGAGCAGCCATCTTCTTTGGAGGCTGTTTTCGCATAGCTCCTTTGTTCCCATTGCCAGCTTTCTTGTCACTATTTTCTTTGGTCTCCTTGGGTTCTGGAGGTTTCAGTGGCGCAGGTTCAGGAATTGGTTTACCGAGCTTCTGATGTAGTTTCACAACCTGTAAAAGCACAAAATCAGAGTCTAGATACATTACCCAGGTGGTTACCCTTTCTTTACATTTGATTATACAATAAATCGCAATGCAATCCTATCACAGTTTCTGTTAACCTTTAAAGCTTGGGAGTGAGCATCATCTAATTCCTCCTTATAGTATCACTGCTGAATCATTCTTTAAGATTGTGTGAGTAAAGGACATGATTGTTAAGGTTAAACAAATTCTCCTTGTCAGTACCAAAAGAAATGTATACAGAAGAGTATAGAGAATATGGATACTGATGTTAGGATGTAAAGGGTTAACTTGATCACAAAATAAGAGAAATGTTGCATACATGTACATTAAATCCATGGATCATTCCGATAAATCATGCCTAAATTGTAGCAGTCCAAAAAGATATCACATTCAAAACTCAAATAATGAAACTAGCTATCTAAATTGCACGCGAGTGATTAAACTCATTCATATAGCAATGGGTGTGTGGCAGAGATGTGAAACAGATAAAAATATCTTCAACACAGCCTGCTAGATATCCCAAATTTGTATTCTATTGTGCAATAATAAACAACTTTTACCTTCTGATGTTTTGAACCTTTAAGATGGGCGGCAAATGCATCAGTCCCTGTACAAGTGACATCACAAAGCTCACAACGATATGCATTAGATGGAAGGGATTCCTTTTCTTTTTGCTTGGCAGCTTGTTCCTTCTTCTTATGTTTCTGACCCTCTAAATGTTCTCTGTATGTCTGAAAGAAGTAATTTCAATCAATATTAAACAAACAGAATATCTAATTACTGCAGGCATTTCAAGTTTATAGACATATCTAATGCAAGTGCAGTACAACTACAGTCGTCGCCGAGACTTGCAAACTCAGGTGACACAAAAATAGCATTTGACACGCTTAATGCTTCACACGTGGCCACAACCAGCAAAGGTACATAAAGAACCGTGTTAAAAACTTTTGCTCATAACAAGTCTTGAGAACGAAAAAATAAATATAAGACTCAAAAGCGGTCGGAAAGTTGGTTTAGTGCGTATTCATAAGTTAAATAATACATGTTTTAAAGGTACATGTAAGCTTATATAAAAAAAATTTCATATGCGATGTTGAAATATTTATTGATACTAACCTGTGGTCCTGCACAACTAATCTTGCAAACATCGCAGTAATGAAGTTGAGGTTGTTTCGGCGGTGGCTTAGGCTTCATCATCTGCTGTTTCTGTTGACCAGCTCCGATCTTGTTTTTCCACCCTTGCCGTTGTGGTGTCTGTTGATGATGTTGTTGTTGAACGAAGGCCGCGGCGGCGTTATAGACAGCTGCCTCGTAAGCTTGAGGTTGGTAATTTGCAGCATTCCCAGTTGAGGAACCACCATAACTTGAAGTGTTGTACGAACTTGTTTGGCCGTAAGCGGTTGTCTGTGTACGAGCGTTAGAATACGGATAAGCCACAGTGGACGATTGAGATGAGTAAGCTTGGGTCGGATGAGTTTTCGCAATAACCGGCGTAGCGCTCACTGATGTCGGATAAACATTTGTTCCAGACGTTGGGTAAGCTGCTTTGGCTGCCCCAGTAGTGTTCTGAGCGTAATAAGCATTTTGTCCGCCCTGTACGTTCGTGGACGGCTGTTGCGAATAATAAGACGCCTTGGTTTCGTAGGCCTCGCGATCGTAGTATTGAGCTGAACCGTGATGTGCTTGGTAAGCGCCGTGAGCTGCCTGATAAGAGGCATTTGCCGGTGGCGGTGGCGGCGGAGCGTCCTGTTGTCTTGCCGTATAGCCATAAGCACCTCCTTGCGCGGAAGATCCTTGTTGAGCATAAGCAGTTGTGCCAGCTGAGTAAGGCGCTTGTACGACTTGTCTAGGTGCTTGATTTTGTGGGGGAACATAGTGCCCTCCAGCGGGAGCAGAAGCTTGAACTCCGTAACCAGTAGTTCCTTGGGGTGTTCCATAACTGGTTTGAATCGATGGATTCTGAGCTTGAGTAAAACCCTGCGTGTGTTGTCCTCCCGAAGAATAGCCGTAGTAATTGCTGGCGGCCATGTTGGATGACTCAAGGAGAAAGAGGCACGTGGTCAAGACGTCAAACCGGCAAAGCGCAAAAGGAGAGGCCTGGATAGCAATTATCTTGAAAACGAGGCTAATAAGTGCCGCGGCTCTTACGAAATTAAGTTTCTCGTATGGCGGCGCTTTCTTGAAGGCGGCGCGTATCGTAAAATTGGACGCGACAAAGATAAGCTCTCTTTTGATTTAACGGCAGTTTCTCTATCCGCACCGAAATTTCATGGTAACTAACAGAGCCGTCTTTAAATTGAAGCCATTCGTCTCTTCCGAAATGATAAAGTACAGGATGAGTACCTCGTGAGAGCTGCCCGCAGTACCTTAGTCATAGTGAAGCTACTCTTCCTTGAGACTTTTCACTCGAGTTTTATTAGAGTTCGTGTTTACAACACCACTTGATGAATGCCATGAAAACTGGACTTAAGCCATGTTTTTTCTGGAACGCTGAAGATTATTTACTTTGCTGTTCTGTATAATTGACTTCTTCGAACCTAATACACTTTTGCTGAAATGTTGCCAATCTTGACAACCCTTACGTCGAAGAAGTTCTGGAGAAATATCCAAATACCATATGATAAATGGTAGATTTTCCACCTCATTTCTCATAATTTGAAAATTGACCCAGCCGCCATCTTTACATAAAGGCGATAGAATAAATTAGTATATACAAAACGGTCGATTTGGTTGAAGGCACGCTTTGATTGGCTACTCAAACTCCGTTTATCCTTTGCTATTCATCTCCGAGAAACTCACGGGATTTATGCCCAAAAATATTGTAATCGTTGCAGGAATAAATGATTGAGATAAAATAACATTTTTGTGCTAAATTATCTCGCTATTTAGTGTATACGAAAACTATTATTTACCTCAGTGTCGGTATCTAACAGTGAATATTTACCTCTCTGCTTCGCGGCTTGGTAAATACCCACCACTAGCCACCCCAACTTCGGCGAATAGTTGTTAAATAAACAAGTTGACACAAATGCAATGATGAATCTTGGCGAATCTGTTATCGAAGTAATGTTAAAATCATTGCTTATCTACATTTATCAGAAGAGGGCTACTGCTTTGAATTCGTTCAACCTACTCGAGTAAAGTAACAGCCTCTCATTTGACCACTTTGCTGTCACAAGCCGTCTAGCCATTGCTCTTCTTCAGTCCAATCAACCACTCGCCATCAGTAAGTGCAGGTTGTCTGCGTAGGCGTGGCTTTGATCCTCGCCGAAAATCTCAGAAGATTAAGATAAGTCTAGCATACTTCACAGATAACGATTTCTCAAATAAGTCTACTTCAAGGGCAAAAGTCAATTCTTGACCCTAAAAATCAAAAACAAGATTGAAATTATGTTTATTGAGCGATATACAAAGCGAGTAGTTTGGAAATTTGATTTAGTGATTCGATTCTTTATATGCAGTCTTGTGCAACTTAAAAAGCACAGAAAAGCATCCGAATTTCTGAAAATTTGAGGCTAAATGCAAGGTTTGAACTACCAGTAACCATATGCAATTTTGGGCGTCTTATTTGATAAGAGTGGCTGAGTAGAAATCACATTACTGATAACAAGCGCCCTGTTTTTATTCTCAGTGAGTTAATTCTTTGGTAATCACGTTTCATACTTAAGCTCTTATCAGCAGCTGTTATCTTGCTTTATCCCACTACGTAAACATACAAACTATAATTGAATTAAGTATACTGTAAACTGTATATTTCTTTTAACTTCTGATGTTCACGTGAATCATGACGTATCGACAGTATCGCTGTAAGAACCGCTATCCTGTTGGTCAGCGCCTCTAATCCAACACTTTTGAGTCAAGAGTCATTACGGCTGTGTCAGCGGTTGCTGACCAACCAACACGGAGCAGAACTGACTCTACGTTACTGATCCTGTTTATTCGTTGCGCTTAGCAAAAGGACCGCAACTCTTAGAACAAGGTTGTGAAGTTTTGAAAGGAAATACTCTTTCAGCTCCTCCGAGAACCGTGATAAAGGATCTCTCGCTCCGTTCAAATTGCATTCCCGAAAATTAGCGAATTTCACCGTTTAGAGTCAAAAAATAAAACACAGGTGCCGATGTGAACTAATTTCACGTATGTTTATGTTGAAACAGAATTTCATCTCAACATGTTATTTTCGTCTAAAAGCGAGATTTGCAAAGATGAATATTTTTCCATTAGGCAGAACAACCACTCGCGCTAATAGGCCATTTCCGAAATACTTTTGTCCTCTTTTTAAAAACAAGGCCTAGCGCTCAACCAATTGTATGTAAATGATTTAATTTGCATGTGAATGAAAAACTTACAATCGTAAAGAAGGATGATCACCAGGACTCGCTTTGAAGAAGAGGCCAAAGGTAATTCACAAATGGCCAATTCAAGTGATAGAATTGATAAGAAGATTCTCATTTACGGCAGGACTTAATTTATTCCTCTAGTAAGCACGGAGAAAAGTGAACATAAAGCAGTCAAATTAAATTCAGTTGAAGAGAGTGTTCATCAAGAAAGTAGCTAACCGGTGTGTGTTTTATTCTTCACTTTCAAACTCTCCAATTGTTTATTACGAATCAGAGAGCCTTGGATTTCCTTTACAAGTATCTTAACCAAACTTAAGTTCTCTTTCACTTTGAATGCACATGATGCCACGAACCAAACAATTTCCTTTTGTATTGACGACTAGAATCGCTCAATTTCTTTTTGACAAAACGTTTTTTCTTGCTTTCCGACGGACTTTCGTCTGTTTGACTGTCCGTATCACTGCAACTGGACTGACGTAGATCGTTCAGATGCAGGAGAAGCGCAGAAGGATTCATCTTACACCTGCGCGCTCGCATTTCACGGATTACATCGTAAAAACAGACATCCACGCCATCATATTCTGCAGCTGAAGCTTCGCCGAATAACCACCCGTATCTTTTGGCCAATGTCTGTCCTTCCCGCTTCGCGACTGTGCGATGTTCTTCCAGGTCAGTTTTGTTCCCGATGAGTACTATCGAAGGTGGGCCCTGAATAGTACAGTCACGTGATTCTTCAATCATTTCTTTGTACCGCGGGATTGTGATGTAACTCTTCCTGTCTGTCATGGAGTAGACAATGATGAAACCATCTCCCACGTGGAGAAAATTCTCCACAAGCTTCGATGGCGTGTTCTAGAAAAGCCAAAATGGAGGATACATTGACAACTTAAGTGCACGAATGATATAAAAAGTAAAACAATGCTAACTGTAAATTGAAAAACGAGAATTGAAGGAAGTAGTTATAGTCTTTGGCAAACACGAACTGAGAAAGGTCGTTCATTTTCATAAAATTAACGGGATGAATACGGGGAAGGGAACCCTCAATTTGAGTAAATTTGGCAAGGCTTTTTCTTATGCCATTATTCAGTGTACAGTTTGTTAAAAGAATAAAAGAAAAAGCTTTGGAACAGGTTGGGCAGAATTGATTACTTACCCTGTAAGCTGTGTCTAGCACATCAATGGTGACTTCCTCACCATCCACTGTTATTTTACGCTGATAACAATCCTCTGAAAAAAAAAGAAAGTTAATTACCACCACAAACTAAATAATTTACCTTCCATAAAATCACGCATCTCAAAATTCACACACCATAACATCGTGTGAACCCCGTGGCTGCACTGTTTTTTTTCCCTCTACGAGTTCATCAAAGAGCGACTAGCATCTAATTCTCCAATCATATCACCCCTGAATCAAACATTAAGGTCATGAGAATAAAGGAAATGATCACCAACTAAAGAAGCTCTTGATCTTTCAACAAATTCTCCTTGTCATCACCTTAGGAAATGTCTAGAGAACTTTATGGAGAATATGCATACTGATGTAAGAGTGTTAAGGGCTAAGGGTGTGACACCCTCCCTCAGAAAGGTTAAACAAACCACGGAGGCAACGGCAACAAGAAAGAAAAATATTATTTTATCTTTTAATCGACGTTTCCTCGGCGTTGCCGTCCTGACTGCTTAAAGTCCCGGTGAAAGAAAGAGCGGCAAGAACGTCAGAGAAGGGTTCTAGGTGCGGGTTACCTTTTGTTTTATGCCAAGTTCATCAAGTTCTTCTCAGAAAACCTTTTTCCGAGGAGGGCATATCCTAACTCACGTCACAAGCTTCCATCAGAACACAGTAGCGGGGCAGGTCTTTATTTCTCACGTGGGGGTGGGGGACGGACGATTTTGGTTGTGTCACGATAAAGTTTTAAAACTTATTCCCCCATAAGACTCTGTGGTATTCTAATGATCTTCCCTCACTGGCAGTTAATTGACAGTCAATGTTCTATAGTTCTCCCTCCATACTCTTTTGTTGACAACTGATCCCCTCTCCGTTCCCCATGAACCATGAGATTCCCTAAAAACTCCTCCGCCCCCCCCCCCCACTTCTTTTCGTTCCTAACAAAAACTACAGTGCCTCCTTAAGGAAATTTCGTTACTCGTTCCTCTTACCAATTGTAGGATCATATTCCCCAATAAATCGATGACACAGGAAACGTACCAACAGTGCTGCAAGAACAGAAAAAAAAAACTTTGTCATTGATGTCCTCAGATAGTCTAGGAGTGTTCTCTGAGTAGTTCTGATGTGTACTTCAGCAAACCATGTTTAAACGAGAAAATTCGAAATTTCCTCCAGATTATAACACGCCTGGCGGCAGGTTGATTAGTAACATAATATGGAAAGAATTTATTCCCAACAGCCGTCATAGTGCTATTAGTAATACAGTAATGTGACTTCCTTGGCTGGCTAACCAAAACGCTTTTCAAAATAACAGCGACCCCAAGGAAACCCATGCTTGTTCGGCCACTTCAAATACTGACTACTCCGCCTTCCGATTAATAGGAAGCTTTCATAATGCCTTGCAGAGTTTTAACTGTAAATTGAAGGATATAATCATCATTGTCGTGTTGATTATGAAACAAGATATTTATGACGTCGGTTGAAAGATTTTCAAAATGCCTTCGTCGTCCCTGACCTTCCGGAAAATTCATCAGTTTTGTTTGATCATTAAGTGCAACTGGCGAGAATAAATACTAAAGCCGGGCAGAACAGGTTTACGAAAGCCCGTACGCCGAAAACCAAGACGAAAGTAAATTTAAAAAATATCGGTTCAACTATTTAAGGCGCTCTCCGAGGAGGAGTACAAAATGCTACCATACGGAGCCAATCTGCGATTTTCCTCACGTTTATCTCTATAAAAAGAAAAGTTCCATTTCGAAATTCCCAACAACGAACTCCGCCTATAGGTGTGTCTCATTTATCCTGTTTCATAGTGTCTGTGGGTTTTCTTATGTCCGCATTCAATCTAAACCACACAAGTATACTTCTCATAGTATCGATTTAAATTGTTTGCAGATAGGAACTAAAGACAGGTACAACAATTCTGAACAAGCGGCCATTCAAGAGGCCGAAACTTTGCAACAATTAATTCTAAACGACACTGGTAACGTCTGTACGATTCGATCAGTCCACGAACGCACTTGCCAATCAGTGCTCATGAAAGAAGGAGAAAAATTACCACAGTAGCGACGAGAGACTAGTAATTATTCCAAAACCGCTGAAATTGTGAGACAGAAAAGAAAAATAGTATACTTCAGAGAATCAGACTCAACTCTGTTATGAACTTGTAAGCATGACTGATTCAAATTTCATCTGATTTTCCGCGATATCTGTTCGTGATCTTGCCAACAACTGTTGGTCCTTGTCGATCGATTGATGATGGGAAGAAGCTGTATCAGCGTCGAGCCAAATGTGTCACCAAAAGGTTGGCACATCAAGATTTGTTGAAGGAAGACAAAAAGCTTTCAAAGAGTGTTCCACACTTATCTGAGGTCAACAATCGCATATTCAAAGAAGGGCGAGCACTGTTACGCGATTAATCACCGAAAACTGTCCAAGTTAACGAGAATGGTTTGGCTTTGAACAGCGAAAACGTGACTAGCCACTCTTTCGATATGACGTTTAATAAGGGAGAACCAAACACTTGATTCACCAGGCTAGCAAACACTAGTTGCCGAACAGCAGCTCGACTATTGCAACCAAGATCTCTCTTACCAAAACAGAACAGAACAGAAAAACTAATTCTTCGTGAACCTTCTAAAAATTAACTAAAACAAAACTTTCTCACTGACCTGTTTTGCCGACTCCTTCGTTCCCAAGAACAGCAATTTTATAAACTCTCTCGGTCATGGTGTGCAACAGTGCTTTGTAGTGAAATATTACGAGACGCAGAGCTTGAAAGCGGTGTACTTCGTTCAGCTCAGGAGTTCCGCTCGACAGGCAAATAGTGTAATTCAATAAACAATAACCTCTTCTCGTGACTTTTTCTAATGAAGCTTTCTTCGTGCAACTGCTGTTGAAAGAGGTGACGCGGGTTAGCACTTTCTATACTTTTCCCTTGCTGCACGTATCACGTCAAATATATAGGACACACCACAGTAATCACAAGAAGGCAAACGAACTTTTAACATCAAAAGCGGTTTACGGAGAGAGATAAACAAGATAAATAAGATAGCGAAATTCACTGAACAATGAAGATGACGGATTTATCGAGTTACATGTCAGTTTATCAAGTACTTTAAAGCTATACGATCATCTGTTACTGGTTAGAATTATTTTGGGATTTGCAGTTTCCGAATCCGGATTCCCACCCCTTTCCTACATCCAGCATTAATATCTGAAAAATACCAACATCTCTACGGATGGGAAAAAAAAAAGAAACGTTGTAATCCAATCTACAGACCACTATAATAACATGAAACAAAAGTTTGGGGTCGTAATGACGGGATGGAAATTGCAAGAATGCAATTAATTCGCGGAAGGTATTAGGGGTACTGTCGAAAGAAGACATGCACATTTTAATTATCCGCCAGTTCGACCGACATTGGCCGCTTGGTCAGACTCAAAGCGGTTCCCTCTGTTCCTTTTTCGATTGAGAGATAACACCGAGGTACTCTAATAGAGTAAAGAGCCAAACTTGTACAGTGTTCTCCTCAAACACCGGCGGCCGGCATGTTTTGCTAGCTTCTCTTTTCTCAAGCTTTAAAGCGCTTGCCATTTTTATAAGACATGAATTTAAGTATATCTGTCTTCGTCTAACATAAATTAAACCCTTTCCTAAGGACAGTTTTTCTAAGGACTTCTTTTGAAAAAGCTCAGAAAAATACTGGTATACCTATATACACATATTTGGCTTGTAACAAAATCTGCCAGAGCCGACATTTTAGCAAACGGTTGCTCTCAAAAAGTGGTTCTTTCAAATGAGTTTCCCAGCTGACCTCCGCACACATTAGGACGTTAAATATTTCAATAACTGTTGAGGGATGATGAAGTTATTGGAAATAAAGGCGATTACAAAAAAGGACGAAATTAAGGTGATTAAGTTCCATAACAACTTGGATCCAAGCGCGTTTCGAGGGCAAATTACTTGAGAAAATTAAGTTTACCAGCTGATTTAAGCACATATTGACATTTAAAATAGTCAATTAACTGTTGACAGATTATGAAGTGATTGGAAATAAAGACAGTTACAAAAATGGAACAAAAATGAAAGTTATCAAGTTCCAAAACAACTTGGATCCAAACACGTATCAGGGGCATTACCAGAGAATATTGAGTTTACCAGCTGATTTCAGCACAGATTGGCATCTACAATAGTCAACTTACAATTGATAGATAATTAAGTCATTGGAGATATAGGCAATTAAAAAAAAAACAAAAATTAAAGTTACAAACTCTATTACTATTTGAATCCAAGCACGTTTTCGACGGCATACCACCCAAGAGAAATTGAGTTTACCAGCTGATTTCAGCACAGATTGGCACGTACAATAGCCAATTAACTGTTGGTAGATTATAAAGTAATTGGAAATATTGGCAACTGCAATAACAAAAATGAAAGTAATTAAGTTCCATAGCAACTTAGATTCAAGCATGTTTTCGTACATGGAAATCACCAGATAGCAATCGAGTTTAAAAGTTGATTTCAACACATATTAACAAATTAAATAGTCAATTGACAGCACGTTGATAGATGATGAGTCATTGGAGATAGAGGCAATTTTTATGAAGTAATAAGTTACATTACTTCTTGGATCCAGGCACGTTTTCGTGGGCAAGTCACCAGAAGGAAATTGAGTTTAACATCTGATTTCACCACAGATTGGCAAACAAAATTATCAATTAACTGCTGTTAGATGATGAGGTCATTGAAAATAGAGGCAACCACAAAAAATAACTTAACTTAAACTAATAAATTTTCATTACTACTTGTATCCGCGCACGACTTAGGAGGCTAATCTGCGGGGAAAAAATTGAGTTCCTCAGCTGATTTGAGCACATATTGGCATTCATTGATAGTGAATTCATTGCATATATTGGCGATTGAAAAAAAAAAAAAAAAAGAAAAAAAGAAAAGGAATTAAGTTCCATTTCTAATTGGGTCCAAGCACGTTTAGAGGGTAATTTACAGAAATGAAATTTACACCCCTCGTGATAGATCAACTTTGAGGCAAATTAGAACGCCGTTCGATTGATCGTCTCTATAACACATCCAAAATAATCACTTACTCGAATTAAAATGAAGGTATTTATCAAAAGGAGCCAATCTGAGTAAAGCAAAGGCAAAGACGCGCAGGAACAAAAAGCGTGACATGATTGGTTTTATTTTCACATCTTATTGGTTGATTCTCAGCCAGCCCAGGAAAAGTCTTGGAAGAAAACTCCCATCAAAGATGGATCTCCAGGATCTAATAGTTTCAACACCAAAACGTAAATCAGTTGTCACGGTCTTAATAGAGAGGGCTCACGTCCGGTGAACAATCTAAATTCCGGAAATTGTACCAGCCAGGGACTATACACGATTCTTAAGCAAGCAGTGTTTGCTATCTCAGTCAAAAGCAGAATATTTTAAACAAGCTATACCAACGTTTTCTATCGTCTTACAAGTTCATAGCACGATAAAACTCTGAACCATACATTCGCGAGAGAGGTGGACAGATTATTGTTTTATACAAACGCAGCCATGGAGTTGAATTTGGGGGCAACTGAGAACGAAACTATTCAGCATTCCTGTGGAACCCTTTGATTTTTATTATAAGAGGATCCGTTCCAGTTTTTCCCAATTGCAAGAGCGAAAGAATGAAGGAAAGAAAGAAGTAAGTAACGAAGGAACGAAGGAACGTCATGAAGGAATGGAGGAACGAAGGAACGTCATGAAGGAATGGAGGAACGAAGGAAAGTCATGAAGGAACGGAGGAATGAAGGAACGGAGGAATGAAGGAACACCATGAAGGAACAGAGGAACGAAGGAAAGCCATGAAGGAACGGAGGAACGAAGGAACGTCATGAAGGAACAGAGGAATGAAGGAACACCATGAAGGACAGAGGAACGAAGGAACGTCACAAGGAAGGGAGGAACGAAAGAACAAAGAAGAAACAGAGGAACCAGAAGAGAACATGTGCAAGTAACAAGTTAACTTGCTAACTATAGTGATCAACTAATAATAAGAACTTACCCTTAGATCATCAAAAAGTTTCCCTTGATTACATAAATCTCTTTAGTTTGAGGATTGTAAAATTGATTCTTTCTGAGGGTTTTTGCCCTTCTTTGTTTCTTTACTTTCTTCAAGGATGCCGTTATCAGTGAGCTTCAGGATGTCATAGATGTCCAACGCTTCTCCTGTGAGGGGAATAAAATAATTCTAATAATAAATAATTTAACATCGAGAAAATCAAGAGTCCATACACTTTTTGGATTATGCTTCCTTTGTAGCTTTTCCTCAGTTATCATTTTCGCTTCTCTTAAAACTTTCATTTTTTAAAGGAACAGTGTCAAGGTGACGCATGCGCTGTGGTATGTCGAATATTTTGAAAAAGTTGGCAAACTTTTTCAAATTTCGTCTTTAGGACGAGTTGCCGAGTTCTATCATTCTCTATCTTTGCCATCCGTGGATAATTCTTTTAAAAACCACAATATTAAATCAGAACATATAGCGTGTTTTTGTCCTCCCAGATCTTCAATAATTTGCTGAGCGAGAATACGTTTAGAGCTTTGTTCATGAGTGTTATCCTTGGATATTACCGTCAATGCCCTAGAGGCGGCGAAGGCGAGTATGGATATCGGAAATCCAAATATCCAACAAGCCTCCATTAAAAGCGAAAAAAAAATTGTAAAGACTACTTCATTGATATTAACGTACTCCTAAACAGCTGTATAAGATAAAGTTATCGCTGCGTGCCTTTTTTAAAAGGAAAAATAAAAACCTCGTAAAGAGCACTTCCTAGATATTAACCTACTCCAAAACAGCTGTGTAAGATAAAATTATCGCTGCGTGCCTTTGTTGAAAGCGAAAAAAAACCTTGTAAAGAGCGCTTCCTAGATATTAACGTGCTCCAAAACAGTTGTGTAAGATAAAATTATCGCTGCGTACTTTTGTTAGGAGCAAAAATAAAAACCTTGTGAAGAGCGCCTCCTAGATATTAACCTGCTCCAAAACAGCTGTGTAAGAGAAGTGAAATTTAACTGTATAGAATCTCTTCAACGTCAGCGTCCATAACTCAAAATTAGACGTAAATAGAGGTTCGTTAATTCAAAATATAGCGAGAAGAAACTTGGTCGTTCAATAAATTGGGTTATTTAATCCACTGGTTTTGATGCTTTCAAAGCCGTATCATTAAATGAATTTCGAATCCAAGATGGCAATCGATTCACAAAATTCTCAGAATTGATGTGTTTCACTGCGCATGCCCAGCCGTGACGTTCTCCCTTTTAACTGTTCTATACCCGCGGTTTCCCTTCCTCTAAAGACTATATGATTGGCTGATTAGTAAACACGTGGCCCTGCTTAAATCAAAATATACGCCGAACGAGATACATTTATTGAACGCAATCAATCTTCAGGTTTTGCACATGATCAGAACGCGGCTGAGGCCGATGGTGTGATATTTTTTAAGTTCCCTTTTCTGAGCTAATCGAAAATATCAGACAATTTGACGCCAACCCACCCCCCGTTAGCCCATGAAAACACAATGGACAGGCCTGAGGCTGAAGAAAAGCGCTTCTCTAGTACATCGAAAGAAGCAATCGAAAAACTTTTAAAGGAGGACTCCAAAAGTACGGTTCTTCAAAAGTACATCTGCTCTGCAGTGTTTAAAGAATTAAAATGTGCTGTTAAAAGTGATCATTTTGCTTGTTAACTATGTTCGTCCTCTAGATGTAGAACAAAGCACTTAAAACACTTCATAAATCGCTTAGTTTTGAATATTTTTTAACTTTGCGGCCTGTTTGTGGCTTCTCGCATAAGCTGCGCGTGGATGCGGATTGGTTAGCTTATCTTACGCAAAGCCGTTAAAAAGAACTGCTGCCTTTTAGAAGTGGTTCAGTTCCCACTGTGGAAAGCTGTTGAACTACGCCCCAAGATCTCTTTCTACTTAAAACAACCTTAAACTGAATTTCGACCATGAAGAATCTCGCCAAAAGCATTGCTGTATTTTGTGCATTCTTCTGTGCGGGTAAGTTAATCAGTTCAAGGTTTCGTGTAATAGACTCTTCTTAAGATGCACCCAGTTGTAACATACGAAACATCGGGGTTGAATTCCGGGTGATAAACTTATCATGTTGGTGACAACAATTTCAGTATTTGCAATTCATCTTCATTCTCGGCCCCACCATTAACTAAATCCTACCAATTCACGATATCCTCGCTCTACAGTTGTCTATCTTTTACGTAGCTAATGAGGCATAACTTTCAGGCTTTTTTCTTTTGAAATAAATCGAATATCATCAAAAATCTTGCAACTGGAAAATTATGTGGTAGATTTATTTGTCCGTTTTTTTTTTCGTGATTTGCGAGAAAACAATTTTGCGGTTTGAGATGACTTAGGAGGCCATGAAATTACTGGTGGGAGCTTGTGTTTATGATTTTTTCTTTTGTTTTCAAATTCTCCCAATTTTCGAGCTACTTAAATGGAAGGTACACAATTCATCATTTGTAAATGAATTATTTGCAAATGCGACGAACACGTATTTGCACGCGAAGCTTTTCATTTGCCTAGTAATTCCTTTTTAATGAATCTGCTTCTCTTTTTCTGCGAGACCTTATTTTTTTGGATCGAGGACGATTAAAAACCGTCAAGATTTCAAGTCACAAGGTATCCTAAATGACATCTTCTATTGTTCATCATTTCTTTTTATTTTTTTACGGCTTAATCCTTTAGCTCAGGGCTTGGAAACTAGGCAGACTTGACGTGATAACTGCAATGTCCGCTGCAGATATTGGGTTATCATGTCAAGTTATGTCAACTTCACAAGCTAGTGTATATTGATTGAGTGCTCGCAAACAGTCAGATTTTTCTTGGTAAGTCTAATGTAGAGTGATCATTTTTAACTGCAGCTCATTCGCTGCAGTGCTACGTGTGTACCCCAACCGATGAATCTTACAGCGTTGAACAATGCGAAAAAGACCAAAAGAAAGTGAACTGCAGCGATATTCCTGGTGTGGTCTCGGACTTCTGTTTAAAAACTTCCGTAGAAGACGAAGATGGCAGGAAGTCTGAACAGAAAGCATGCGTGTCTAAAGCCGAATGCGAGCAGACCAAGGCTAATTGTGACAACGCAGGCAAGACGGAAGAATCCAAAGTCAAGAAATGTTCAGTATCCTGCTGTACCAGTGATCTGTGCAACAACGCCTTCTCGGTTTCCATCAACATGATGTTTATTGTTACAGCAGCGCTGTGTAGTTTCAAGTTATTCTAAGCACAAACAATGCTAAACTGCTCACTATCGTAGGCACATCACGCTGTTAATGAAGTTTATCGCCAGTGCTGCTAGAGACAAACCTCCAGTTATTACTGACTAGTAATAAATTGAGTCATTTCTGGATTAGCAATAACGATTGTTGATGAAGTTCAATTCTTATTATGGTATGCATCCATAAAGGATTATTGATCCATGCTATTTTTTGTAATCTGCTGAATAAATCAGATGATAAACAAGCTGTAGTCCCTCGGCGTACACCTCGGACTTTTCCTTTTTGATGAAAACGTTCGAAACGCGGCTAAGGCTTTCTTAAATGAATCCTTTGATTCTATAATCGCGTGTAAGTGTAATTTTACCACTTCCACCTTTCGAGAACTAAAAAATACCCGAACTGCAATGTTAAGTAGCTGGTTTACACGGAAAGTCAGGAGTGATACGAATCTGAAATTTTTCCAAAATATCAGCCTAATATCCTAAGACCTGTTTACATGGAGGTGGGGACCCCAACTAGGTGAGGTAACCCGCCTGTTCATATAATCTCTTATTTTATCTTGATCACGTTTACATGATAGGTGAGGTGACCCGCCTAGGCGAGACTCATGTTTCGCGCCAAAAGAGATCATTATGTTGCTATTGCGAGAAGGAATAAGTACGTTGGTAAAAACCTCACAACAAGCGATAGCATTTGTAGCTGACATTGAATTTTTCGACGCATTACTTCGACAAAGAGTGCTAATGCAAGCCGACCACATCAAATCCAAACCAGATCCTTTCTACCTTATTGTGCGTGACTGGTGCGAGGCCTGGATAAACACTGATAATATATCCATATCATGTTTAGTTTAAGTGTGACCTGGAGCACGTCAGCGCATGACTCACGGCAGGAAGGACTGGGTGCCAGTGACATCAATTCTCCTTGGGGGGTCCCTGTGGGGTGCACCTCTAACGTAATAGTAATACATTTGTGTATGTTTTCAGATCGTTGTCACCCTAAAGGTCGTTTTAATTTTCTAACGAACGCAACTGTTCTGCTAAGTGAAGAAAGAAAAGAAAACGGAAGAAAACAGAGTTTGGAAGAAATAGCTTCTCATACAGAGGGACTGTGGTATGGAATTCACTGGACAGAACGACAAGGAACTTAGAAAAGCAAGATGCTTTGAAAGCAGCACTGAACCGTAACAAAACTTGCCTCGGCAAAATCACTTTTAACAAAGGGACCTCAACAATTCTTAATAAGGACATTAACTTTTTGTATTATTAAATGTAAATATTAACACCCCTTAAAATTTTGAATCGATCTATAATTAGTTGGTTATTTTCCTTTATTGTAAATAGGTTTCTTCATGTTATTGTAAATAGTATTGTTAATGCTCTGTAAGTTTTAAAATAGTAGATTTTAGTATTTCCTAGGTAGGTCCACATCAGCTGTAAAAGTTGCCACTACGGACCTGCGTCACTAAATAAACTATGTATGTATGTGATCAATTCAATCCCATATTTATTTCCCTTTTAGTTAATCAGATAGCACAATAATCACTATGAAAATTCATATTCTAAGCAAATAAATTTAACAAAAGAAACTAGAAGTCCTGCTGAGTTTGTATTAGTATTTTCATTATAAAATGAAACAAAAGTGTATCAGCACTTTTCTTCGGCAGCAGACATGGCATTTAGATAATTCCAAATATTTGCTGACAAATGTTCTCTTCGCACGTCTTGTTCGCAATTAAGAACGCTTGAAAGTAGTTTGAGGGGCGTTTAACGATAGATTATAACGAACAGAGCAACATCGGTTTAAAAATTGTGTTAACTTATCCGGAAGTTGACTTTTTCCTCATCGTACTTTGGTTAAAATTTGTCTATATATTCATAAATACAAATTTAAAGAATCAAATTTTGCAAGACATTGTTTAATTGGCGTACACGTCGCTCTTTAAGCCGGACTATTAAGTTCCCTTTCGCTCTTCACTAGCAGACAACCCATACTCAGCCAGTTAACTGCCTTCAATCGTTGCGGTGAAAATTTCTATATTGCGCAAAACTTTTCATAGTGGAACTTTGTACAACCGGAACCAGGAGTCTGTATCAGAAAACTGCGCGAAGGGAACTGGGACAAAAACATTTCATGGTTTTTGGAGAAAAATATTTTCTGTGATTTCCTAATAAAGGGTCTTTAAGAGACTAGACAAGTAATAAAACCTTATTTCAGTACGTTGCCTGAAAAAGGCTTTTTTAGTAGGTATTTAAGAGATTTTAGAATTTTCGTTACAAACCTGGCGGTATTCCTTGCCCCTTATGAAGTCCAAGCGGGTTGGATGGAGTTTTGCAGTCAAGGGAAACTTCCTTTCGCAGCACAGTGTCAATATCAACAGCACTGAAGAACGCCACAGACTGTAAAAGACGCATAGACACGTACACGTTATCAAGGTTTATTGCAAGAAAACCTCACTAAAAAAGGACAATAAAACTAAAACCAGCCCAGGAAAGGAAATACGTCATCTAGGGAAGCATTAACGTCAACTTCAAGGACTGGAGGGAGGGGTGAGGGCTTTGATAGCAACTTTAACTTTCATTCCAGCACGTGTGAGAAATATAATTTTAAGTTCGAGATCATTCTCGACATTCCACACAAAGACGTCATAAGATTTCAAAACCCCTAAAGCCCTTGCGAGAGAAGCTGAGACGCAAGTCTGATGCAAGAAACAGCAGTGATACCAGTGATGCCAGTAATACCAGAAATACTATAATTCGCCCCAACACCTCCCAACATAAAGCTTCGTACCTCAGTAGGCAGCAGCGCTCAAGTAGTGTCTGAGGGGCTCGTGGTCAATTTTTATTGAGGCTTAAATTTGTTTCAGACCTCTTTTGCCGCAGTGACTTAAAACGCAGTTGTTCCGTGAAATAGACTTATGTCTAAGTAGATCCCGTTTTTCATGCCCACAAATCAACGCAATAGCCCTATTTGGTTACACAGATATCGATGAAATACTGGTATTTATTTCCAGTTTCCAAGATATGATACCTTACTTCGCAAAGTGAGGATATCATTGTTGTCTTTCACAGGAGCAGATATATATAAATGTTGTGCCCTGAAGATTAGCTCCCCGATGTCATCTATTATACTACGTTTTTTTTTTCCAATTTACTGATAGTATCGTTTGATAAAACAATAAACACAAACAAAACAAAACAAAAACAGGCAAAAGAACACTAGTAAGCTTTCTTAAGATACAATCTTTGTGTATGGGATACCTGTGGTAAGTCGTTCATTCCCAGTTTATGAGCGAACATCGCTCTGGTCAGTAGATTTGTGATTTGTAGTGCCAGGGCTGCGCGGTACTTGTCTTTGCTTGACACCAGATAACGAACCTGTTGAGATTTGACCACGATATTATCACGTGACAAAAACAGACACAGAATCAGGATTGAAAACTGATTTTCAACTGACTGCAGTAGAACGAGGGAAACGATAAGTGTCTTTCTGTTTTGAACACAACTTCTCTTTTATACCGAAAATAAAAGGACGGGCTGTGACAGGCGTTGAAGTTCAAAACAAATATCTACTCGGTCTCAACTATATCCCAGTGAGCAACGTTGAAGTAAAATCCTGAAAGCCTGAGCAAATTAGGACTTGATGTCCAAACTACCATTACAATTGCGATTTCAGTCTTTAAATTATAATTTAATATATAATGAGTCGGAAGGAAGTAATTTAACTTGGAAGGGGAAACAGCAACCTCCAAATCTTAACAAAAATTTTCTTTTTCAAGATTGTGGTTAACACGTACGGTTTTGAAACGCACGTTAAAACACGCTGAATCGTAAGTCGAAAAGATGCCAAAATAATTCGCCTACCTCGTCATGTATGCTGATACAAAATCTCCCATCAATATTGTACTTTGTGAAGAGCCACTTCATGCAAACTAGCATAAGGTGTAGATAGTCTACGGCTGAACTTTGAACAACCCAGTTAACACGACTGGTCATGAACTAATAAAGGCAAGCAGAGAAACAACTGTATAAAATGACATAGAGATCTCTTCAAAATAGTTGACTATAAAGGATTAAAAGGACCCATATCTGCAATTTGTCCTTCCGTGGTCTGTCTGTCTGTACCTCCGTCCGCCCGTTCGTACATTTTTTGTCTGTGTTTGTTTATTTTTTGCCTGCCAAGCTGTATATCTGTCTGATGTCTGACTGTTTGCTTGCTTGCCTGACTGCCCGCCCGACTTTCTACATGTTAGTCTTACTTTATCAAGAACCAAACAATCTTTTGTCGATAGCCACCTATGTTTCCGTCTCATAGCTTGCATTCTAAACTACAATGTTGTGGAAAAAAGTGAAGTTGAACGCCCATAGCCTTGTGTCGTTAAGTTGTAAACTTTATAATCGTCACCCTCATCGAAGCGCTGCATCTATTTGTGGAGAAAAAAAATTTCTCGGTGCGTCGGCGCTGATCCCTGCGTTAAGTGAATAAGGGTGTTTCTCCTTGTTACAATATTTTACCTCTGTGCCAACAGCAGAAGGCTCCAGCGATTTGCTGATCCTGCAGTCCAGCACAGGAGTCCTGGGCTCCACCGATTGCGCAATGCTTTCCAGCATATTAAACATCTCGGACTCGCTACAAACAACGAAACAACGTGGGCTATAAACGAGCAGTACTATGATGAGTTGGTAATTGGGCTCATGATCGCACTTCAAGTCATAAGAACGTTCAGCACTAATGCTAATCACTCCTAACAGATACTGGACACACCAGAATCCCTATCAAATAACTTTTTGGCCGCTGTATGAAGCAAACATTTTGCAGCTTAAAGGATACGAAACCAACCTTTGAACACGAACCGAAAGGCTGACCCTGCATAGGCTTATCTCGGTTTCTGCAACTAGAAATTTTGTTACTCTTGTCTCATTTTCCTACGCGCATGAACCCAATGCCAGGCTACCGCGTATCTTTTATACAACAGGATACAAATACCACCAAGTGTGTCGGATATAATTACATGATCAATTTACCCTAGTTAAGCTTGGTTTTGGTCCTAATCTACTCAGTTATAAAGCGCCAAGTCATAAAATCAGAGGGTTTCAATAACTTTTACTATAAGCAGCTGCCGAT